TGTATACCACGACCCACAGATATTTTCTGTTTTTTTTTTTTTTTTTGCATGGTGGTTTTGTTTCGTATCCTGAGTAACAGCACAACTACTCCTTTTCTTATTATATATTTCTTATTCATATTATTTACTGTATTTAGATCTTCAAGGACGATGGCGCCATTTCATTACTCATCAGGCCCTTCTGATTTTTTAAAACTTTTTCATTTAGTTATTAACGCATTTTCCAAATTATTTTAAAAATGCACTATTGTGCTCGCCATGTCCGTCTGTCTATCTGTCTGTCTGTCTATCTGCCTGTCTGTCTGTCTGTCTATCTTTCCGTCTGTCCGTCCGTCTGTCCGTGACCTCAAGTTTTCGTCGACGAGAAAATGCGCTCTCTGTCACTCACTGCAGTGAGTACTGAGTTATATTTTTGTTATTTATGCTCAATGGAGATTAACTAAGATATCTAGATCTTCGTTTTTTGTGATTGACTTTCCAAGTTTCGACTTTACCAGGAACTCTCGCAGGTTCTTCTGTCGTTTGTTGGAGATCATTGGCGGTGTCGAGGATGCAGAAGGATTGCTGATATATACCTTCACTCATTGGAGAGAATTTTTGTACACCAAATTCCCAAACTGATTATGTATCGGAGATACAAAAATGACATTTTTATCCTGAGTAAAGCAGAAGTTAAGGATCTCAAAAGCTTTCTGGAAAAAATAAACAAAATTAACGAGTCTCTAAAATTCACAATTTAAATCCGCAGTCATGAGCTTAATTGTCTGGATCACACAATATGTAAAGGGGAAAACTTCCGTACGAACGGAATGCTGGACACCAAAACTTACTTCAAACCTACTGAAACTTTCCAATATATTCAGGCCTCAAGCGCGCATGCCTCATTTTGTTTGAAAGGTTTTGTGAAGGGCGAAATATTAAGGCACAAACGGAATTGCAACAATGTTCCGGAATGTATGAAAACTACTATTATTTTCTATAAATACCTGAGACAAAGAGGTTGCAGCAAAACGCTGGTTTTGGAACAACTGAAGGAGGCTCTGAGCGGAAAAAACCAAATCAGAAAAGTCAAAACGACGCAACCTGTTCTTTAAAATAAAATATAACCCGCAAACATCTATAAATGACTTGAGGTGAGCTCTGTGTAAACACTGGCACCAGATCTATGGAGAGGAATATCTTCGATCACTTTTCCCGACACCGCCAATGATCTTCTATAAACAACATAAGAACCTGCGTGAGTTCCTGGTAAAGTCGAAACTTGGAAAACCAATCACAAAAAGCGAAGATCTAGATATCTTGGTTAATCTCCTTTGAGCATAAATAACAAGAACTAAATGAAAAAGTATCTAAAAATTAAAAGGGCCTGATGAGTAATGAAATGGTGCCATCGTCCTTGAAGATCTAAATACAGAAAATAATAAGAAAGATAAATGATATAAAAAAAGGAGTTGTTGTGATGTTACTCAGGATACGAAACAAAACTACCAGGCAAAAAAAAAAACAGAAAATATCTGTGGGTCGTGGTATACAATTGAAATGCATCAGAGTAACGCAAAACAAAAAGGACAAATGAATAAAAAAACGCGCACATAATATTAACGAAACCGTTAAGCCTCATTTGGCGTGGAAATATCTAAAAATAACAATCGGGGAGAAAGGCAGCTGGTCTCTGGGGTCTCATGCCTTACAAACAAGATGCTACATCTATAGAAATATAATTCAATCTATATCATCGTGCATCTGGTGGCCCAAATGAGGGCGGATGAACGATAATCAGAGGCGGCGATCCATCATAGCCTGGGACTGCTATGTCTCAAACAAGTACCAATAAGATACCAAGAAGATATTGTTATATAGTGTAACTCTCAAAGTAGTAGTGCTTGGGCTCAGACCTAAAGCATTTTCGTGTCCCTCAGGTACAGTAAAAAATGTCGTCACCTGCTAACATCTCCCCGAGAAAATGTCACCCATGCACTCTTTGCTCTCAGAGCAATCGGTAAAAATTGAGCAACAGATGAGCTGTAGTCTCGNATGTGTATAAGAGACAGCTATAATGCTTTTATAATATACGTAAGAACAAATACTCCTCACTACGGTTCAAGCAACTTGTTTATTCCGGTTGGAATACTTGGACTTCCAAGTTTTGCTTCAGCTACATTGATAGGTTGGCCATGGGCTCCGCTAATTGGCATTGTGGAAACCGGGCTCTCAGGGGACTGTTGCTCTTGAAGTCGCAGCAGTCATCCCTTTGAGCGAAGAGAATGCGGGGAATGCTGAATTATTCTCCCTTGCTCCATTTTGCTGCTATGTCGATGACATAATTTATAATTTTATTTGCAAAAATTTTACTGGATTTATAGAGTACCAGTGCATTAAAATCTAAGTAGCTTGCATGCCAACCTCCAAAAATTTTTGGCAGACCGTGAAGCCAGATGCCTGACGTGTTTGAAATACTATTGATTAGTAAAAAATATTGTTGAAGTTTGTGAGTATGACTTACTCAGCAATATTGACCATGCAGATACAGTTGCCTCAATTAACTGTTAATTGTTAACAGTTGCCTTAATAGGATGAACTGTACGTTGATACAAACATTTATGATCGCTGCAGATGAGGACAGCATCTGAAATTATCCTCCTCAGCTCAAGCATTGACGAAGACGGACTGATAAAATAATCGATGGAGCTAATGTGATCGATCCAATTTTCTCAGCATTCATTTTGTACCTTTAGTCTTTATGTAAATACTAGGGCTAATATTTGCCTTGTAACAATATGCAAAATCTGGTGGCAAACCTCGAGCAAACACTAATACGAAGCGTTCCCCCAATTTTTCTTTCGTTACCCCGGAAGTATTGTAGAGCTCCTGCTTAAGCTTCAAAGTTCCTCATTAAGCTCCATAACCTACTAATGTAAGATTTTTGAAGTGGAAGAAAATGTTGGGCCTAAATGGCAGTTAGGAAGTAAGCTCACATGCAGCTGAGATTTCGTCTCTTATTCCGACCCAGTTGAGCGGTATTTTGAATACCAAATGACCTGTACAATCACAATAAATCAATGTTGCCACAATGCGCGATGAAGCTGACGAAGTTAACTTTGGTCGTGACTAATATCATCTAAAAAGTCTTCAAAGTACAAATAAATGGATTCTGTAATACGATACTACAAAGTTTTCCTCCAATCATGAGGGAAATCAAGGTTTATGAGTGTACTGCTTTCAGGTCATCAAGGAAAAACATATCCGTTTGTGACAAAGCACAACTCCTGATTGCTCACGTCATATTTGGTTTCGCGAAGCATTTTAAGTCAAAATAATGAAAATATACATATATAGTTGTAATATGTATTACCTTCATGCTCAGTCTAACTAGGTTAGCGTTTTATTCTGTCCGTCCGTGACTTAATGTTTTCGTCGACGATAAAATGCGCTCTCTGTCACTCACTGCTATAAGTAATGAGTTATATTTTTTTAATATTAACTAGTATCGGTCTACCGCCAGCAAAGTAGTATCATTAGTAGTCAGAACGTCTCTATAGCAGTCGCGTCTGCTGCTTATCTCTTTTCCACGGCAGCTCGGCGGGCTCTTCTTAGCTCAGGTCTATGATTAGCGACGTCCGGTGCTTCTCGCTTCAGCTCCTTCCCTAACAAAATTTAGAGTCGCCCCAGCTTCTGGTAATCCAAATCTGAAGCTGCCGCGTCTGTAAATTTTCAGTTCGAATTGTTACTCAGGTCACGATCAGTCGCTTCTGCGAATTCTGTATAGGCCTTGCGGCTTCTTGTGATGTTTGAGCTTGAGCCTGACTGCGGTCCTCTAAGGAATTATTGCATTCTTTGAGACAAACATACGGCTTCTATTCGTTCTTTGTTCTTCACCTGAATGTCTTTTTATTTTAGCATTTAATGATTACGTCTTTTTAACGTGATTTCCAGTCAATTAATTACACTGTTATATATTGTTGAGTTTACTGTACCTGCGTGCACTGTATTAAAATCTTTCATCTCAAATTATCTCAAGCTTTTCAAAACGTAACTTTTACCCAATTTTTAGCATTGTACTTTGAGAGCAAATCATTTGTTGAAGTCACAATGTTATCAAATTAATGCTGAATTGACATGGTATAGTGTAAGGACTTCAATAATTTCTGTAATAAATTTATTAATTGATGTGAGCATGTTAATTTCTACACTTTTGCTCCATATTAGCTTGGTTATACAGCACATTTGGCTTGTTAGGCTTGTTTAATTACCTGCGCATGACGGAAAAATGCATTATTTCATTTCGAAAAAATAAATCCATTCAAATAAAGTTCAGATACAGTTAATCATTCAAAACATTGTGTGCCTGTGGATTGCTGTGGTCCCTGCGTAGTCGGGACTGAAGTAACTATTAACAGTAATGACAGAGCGTTCCAGGGCCCATACTTTCAAAAAAAGTTAAGAGATCGTAAGCTCATCAGCCAATCATTGACGGCCTTTTAAGCAAAATCCACCAATCGTAGACAAGAAAATAGAGCGTGAGTACTTACGTTCACTTAGCGAATTTTTGAAGTATGCCCCCAGGTCTCCGCCGCCAGAACCTGGAACAGTCTGCCGGCTTCCGTAACAGCGGCCCTTTTGTTGAAGGTGTTTCGTCGACGCCTATAAAAGCGGAACTATTTCGTAAAACTTATAAATCATGTGCTTGGTCATTTTTATCCGTTCTCATCCTTTCTCGTGTCTTTTGAATTTGCCCCTTGCTTCTCGTATTAAACTTATGTGTAACTCGCCCACGAAGTTCGTTTGAACCAGACACCACGAGAACTGCTTCGTAGAATAATAAACATTTATTTTATAATATATTCTCTATATTAATTTCTACATATAATGCGAACCTAGATACTGCCGCTGATTCAATAATAATTGACTTTAAATCCCTTATATTTTCTGCAAATAACGCAAACTGACTCTTAGTTCATGGATAATTGACAATTGAGCTTCGTTTCTTTTATTTTGTGCAGATAACGCCACGATGGTCGACTGCGAGCTCTACATTCGAAGCTTCGGGTCCATCGACCCAAACTCCATGGTGAGGAAAATTTTATTTAACTGTTTAATAAGATTCACTTGGAATGAACAATTCAATAATAAATGACCATGCCTAAAGAATTAAAAAAGAACATGTTATGAATTTTCACATGACACTGCGGTGGGTTGCAAGAAATTTATCTCCAAAATTGAAGCAAGAATTACTCGGAGCAAACATTAAATGAAGAGTTTACTAGATTTTTTTCCTTAATGAATCCGTGAAAATAAATTGTGTGCTGGAGTTGAGATGAACCTACCGATGGTTAGATTATGAAAAAAGGCCGATAAGGGCACTTAACCATATAAATATGGAACATACAATCGTAAAAATAAAACGTCCTTCAGCCGCAAATTCCATGGACTTAACTGCCAGTTTCTGAATACGTGGGATCAGCATTTTTATTCTATAGGAATCTGGGGTGAGGTCAGTCAGCCAAGTTTTTTAATATTTTTAATATACATAAAGGAACTTGACCGAACTTGACCTAATCCTTTCTAACTCTAACTGTAATTTTTTGTTCTAACTCTAACGTCCGGTGTTTCACAACGGTTCAATCAATTTGTTTATTCCGGTTGGAATACTTGGACTTACAAGTTTTGCTATATAGTTTTGCTTTTCTGAATCAGCCGTGAAATGCCGATTCTACATATTCGGAAACTTGTTGCCGATTCCATTGAATCGGCAATTTCGCGATTTCGGCACGACACATATATAACAAACAAGTGTTTAAAATACAGAATAGTACATTGTAAACACTCGTCAATCCAAAGACAGGCTCAAAAACGTAACCTGGAGTTGCTGGCAAGACGTAAACACATGACAGGCGAAAAGACGTCGGAAGAATTACTTGTTCTCTCAAGCCAAAAGAGCGTACGTAACTTTTTAAAGCATTTTTACACACTGCCTGAGTGTCCCCTAAGAAATAACTTTTTGTAAGTTTTGCAGTGTGCTGAAATTTTCTAGCCGGTAAATATTTCTTGAACCATAAAACTGAAATAATAATCTGTATCGTTTTTTGAAGGTCACTAAGAAATGAAATATTTTTGGAAAACATTCATCAAAGAATACAAAGAAAAAATTTATGACATTTATCAAGATATTTGCGTAAGTCGTATCTTGATAACTAGTTACCGAGATGAAAATGAACATGTCAGGTGAGACTCGTAATTCTCTAATTAATAATTTTAGGCTCGGTAAACAAGGTAGAATATGCAAATTGCAGTAACGAATGGTGAAGGGAAATAACCATTCAACTGCTCATTTATAACGCCACGCAATATTGTCAATCCTAATTGATTCTGATCAGATTATTCAGGTAACCGAATGATATATATTTATATATATATACCGATTCATTTGGTTCACAATAAATAAAATAATGTATTCGTCCAATCAATAAAACATTGTTATAACTCGTCGCTAATTCATCTCATATATTTATTTGTTGACTAAAAACTTATTACTTGAGCAGAATAATATTCTAATGCCCGTAATTCTACTAATGAGCTTAATTGTCCGGAAATTATTAGGTAATGTACACCGGTACCTATGAAATTCATCTCATTGTTGACTATTAAAATCCTCACATTTTATGTTTGTCACTTTTAATGAGCATAATTTTAAAGGATCAAATTTTTTCATTATACTAAAAACTTATTTGTCATCGACGTTTCGGCACTAATATAAAATTTATTGTAAGCCTGATATTAATTTTTATTGAACAAGATATCAAAGAGGCTCAAAGCTCTAAGCCGGATATAAGTATTAAAGCATTTAAATATAAAGCGAAATATTACTTATTGTTTGAGTGACTTGAATTACATACATTTATGAATGAGAAAATGATCAGCGTTCTTTCTTGAACAAAGAATACATGAATAATATAGCGAAGGATAACTTAACCGTTTTAACTAAGAGATGCCTGTGAAATATATCCTCTATATTCGCAACTTTCCCGATCTCATGACAGTGGTTATAAAACCAGGTATATTATTGGAACTTATATTTTCCAGATGAACTTCATTTAATAGTTCTGAAACTATAGTTTGAAACTTAAATTCACAGCTCATCTACAATAGCTGGCCTTTATATTAATAAATTATGCCGGCTCAATCACTTGAAACCATTTAAATTATAATGTCCTCGTAAAATTCCCTATAAAAATATTATTCGGCCGGAAGATCTGCAATAGCATTTGAAACCATACGGAATGGCTATGAAATAAGTTATACTCACAGTGAATTGTTTATTTCAGCTCCAACGTTAATCTCACTTTTACCTTCATTTGCATTGCATCATTTGGACAATGGCTAAAAGTATTCAGAAACCGTCGGAACAAATGACATGAATCTTTCAAAATTGAATATATCAAAGTTTTGAAATTATAATGTAGCGTTCAAATAAGATTCTTGGATTATTATAACATTAATCCAGAGTTGATATAATATAAGTAGGGCGGAGTGTCAGGGTTTGAATAAATTATAAAGGCCATCCGACGAATCGATGAGCGAACAAGGAGCGAGTTCTAACCAAGGAATTACTACAAATTTAATAAAAATAATTGTGTCTGGCATAAACTTAACCTAAGTATACGCAATTACCCAAGGTTAATGAGGGAAACAGTTGCCAACGAAACCGTGTTATTTCTAGTGGATTTGATACTGGTATTTTCTCTGACTCTGGAGTCTGACTTGAGTAAATTGAGTTGAGTTGCTTCAAGCTTTTCTATCTAGTCTTCAAACTTGGCAACAGGAGAGAAAACAAACCGGGCTTCAGAATGTTGATTCAAGCTTCCCCAAATGTACCAGTTGAAACGTTTAGATGATTTAGAAGTTATCTCTATTATCTAAAGATACAATGTAATCTGAGCCTACGACGCAGGTGGCTAAATGAGTATCCTGTACTCTAGAATAAATCATTTTAGTAAAAAACATATCAAGAATGACTAATGAGTAGATGTAGTTCAAAGGAATTGTACTATATGAACATGACTTTACGGTATTCATTCAATCTTAAAGCACATTATCACATTTCTCTGTATAGTTCAATCCTCACAAGTTACATGGTAAATCGGTATTATTTAATATAAGTGTCGGAACTTTGCTTCTAGGAATTCAGAAATAGCTTCATAGTACCATAACATCATGACCGTACTGTATTAATAAGGAATCTTGATCACAATTTGTGCGGTTAGTCAACCAAAACATCAAAACAAAGCATGCTCGCAGAATATCCTTGTTTACCATGCGCATGTTGCATTTATATCTTAAAAAAAATTATCATTCGAATTCAAAGGGTTTCAAGAATTTCAGTGTGGCCTGAAATTCGAAGGTAACAAGAAATTTTTAATGATACTAGGAAGTGCCTCGTAAAGCACAACAATTACGAATGAGCATTGCCAGGAATCATCCAGGAATCATTGCCAGGAATCATCCAGGAATCATTGTCAGGAATCATTCAGGAATCATTGTCAGGAATCATTCAAAGACGCTTAAACTATTCAAAAGCATTCAAGCTCGCTCGGAATTGCCAGGGATGTTTTGCAAACAGTTACATTGAGAGTTGTACGCCCGTTAGTACCTCGGCCAGTTCCATTATTTATGGCATTATCATTGATGAATGATTTTCGTGAATGCCGTTAAGTTTGCTTGATGAGTTCACGTGATATTTTTTATACCTTCTTCACATATGTTTATCAAGTATTTTTCATTTACTTTTTTCAGTATTTTCTTATTAAAAACAGAGCGCCATTAAAAAATTGCTATCCACCATGTGATTACTTCCCAAGTAAAAAATTGTATTTTGTGAAATTAACGATCGGTTGAGATCGGGGAATTGAAAACTGAAGTAGCAGTTATTAAACCCAAACTTCCCCAGAATCACAACAACTGACGTTTTAAATGAGTTCAGTGCCAATTATCGTCTTGAAGTGCTTGACATCTGAACTGGTTAGCCATGAAACGCGACAAGAGCTTGACATATGAACTTTAACCACGAAGGGTCATATTTTAAAAATAGTAAAACATTTTCTTCCCAAATCACGAGAAACGAGCGGACGTAGCACTAATACACTTTCTTGCTGTGTCCGGATGACCGGCATAGGCGCCGAGAGTGCATCGATATTTGAACAAAGTTTCGCTCATTTCTCTGAGTGCTGTACAGCCACCAGTATGATAAGGCTCGTGCTCTATTTTCCTTTTTAAATTTCATTTGTCTTGAAAGTCTCTACAATAAAAAAATTGAAATGCATCACACTTGGTAAACATTAAACACTAATTATTCATGCTACTGAACACCTATTCGACAAAAATATCATCTAAGACAATGAAATGGGACTTAATGATTGAGATATTTTTTTTGCACCTTCAAATTTCAGGTATTGATTTGAAATTAATTGGATTTATCCTTAAAAATAAACTTGCAAAAAAATTATCAAGAAATTTTTTATCTCTCTGTATTACGTGACAAGAAAAAGGGAAACGCATGCACTGATAAGTGGATACTTGGCAAATATAAAATTGAATGCTAGTACATCTTCGACTCCACTTTTCTATTAACCAACAGACTGTGTCCCTTGGTCTCTTCTTCGACCATTTCTTTCGGTATCCACTTTCCCAGTGAAGAAGAGGTTCGACACTTCCCCGTTATCAAAACCTATTTTGCTCGATCAGTGCGACCTGTGATTTTTTACTGAAACTTTACCATTTATTTTTTATAGTTTTAAATTTTCAGTAACGATGCTATGCTGTCTAAACCAGCGCAGCGCTCGGCAGAGCGCATCATCATCAACAAATTTTATTTGCTTAAACCACCTTAAGAATGGTATAAATATACTGGCAACCCTTTTTCATCGAGAATGAAAACCTCACACACTGCCCCACTTTTGAATTTGCAGGCCACCTGACTATTGCGAATCTTTTAGTGAAAAAAACCCCGTCCATTAACACTCATTCGAGCAATTCAAAAATTGATGCACCGCACTACCCATGCAAAGAGGAAAATTTTGCACTACCAATGATCGGACAAGTTCCTCCACACGAATGTTTCACAAATCAAAAATCCAGATTCACATTGGAAAAATCTAGGTTCACATTGAAAAAATCTAGGTTCACATTAATCAACTATAAATTGTCCAAGGAATTTATAAGCAAAGAAAACGCCAAGCAAATTCACTAAATCGGTATTGAAAACGTGATGGAGCTGGACTCCAAAACGTTTTCAATATCGATCTGGTGAATTTGCTTGGAGTTTTCTTTGCTTGTAAATTCCTTGTGAAATTGCGATTTAAGCAGAGTGATAATATTAATACTTAGATACGTTGTCCATTTATATATTATTTTTCTCAGGACTACCAAGTGGACTTGTACCTGCGGCAGACGTGGTACGATGCGCGACTGAAGCACGAAGATCTCGTCCAGCCGCTGGACCTGAACGACCCTAAGCTGGTGAAGGCGATCTGGAAGCCTGAAGTGTATTTCCCCAACGCCAAGCACGCAGAGTTTCAGTTCGTGACCGTGCCTAACGTGCTCGTCAGGATCAACCCGCACGGCGAGATCCTTTACATGCTCAGGTGAGTTTATGTGAATTAATAATTTAAGACTGATAGCGTATTAGTCTATTCTGGCTCTAGTCCATTGCCCATCTTAGCTCCAGAACGTCATGAGGTATTTTCGACAAAAATTAACCTGTGCAAGCCTTGCTAATTATCAATATTTTTTTGTGTGACCTCGTTCCAAATATCTTGTCGTGGTTAATTAAATTTTGAAGATTCGTGGTTAATCTTATGATATAGAAGGTGAAATGCACTGCCAATGAGTATCTTTATACAGTATATCAGAGCATGTTCATTGAAGATAAGCCACGTCACTTGTTTTCCTTCATGTTATCAGTTAAGGAGACCATTTCAGTTAAGGTCCCAATTGGTCCAGAAAGTTGAAAATTGTGTGTTTTTAGAACTCACTAAAAACCTCCTGATCAAAAGTGTGTTTCAACTTCGCACGTTCGAAAAATATCGTATATACTGTATGTACTTGTTTAAGAAATACTTAAATTAAATTATTTGTTTTTGGTATGCATGAATAAATTACTCACATGAAAATCAAAAAATTCTAAGTTAAAGTTATTTTCCTATAGTTTCGATATACTCACTTAATATCATATAAAATGGTTAGATGATTGAATTTCATATTGGTCTGGCCGATGTCTAGGATTAAAAGGGCTTTCATAGAAACCTCTTGCTGTGATTGAATTATTACACGTGAATTTGGGTAGAGGAACTCCATGAGCCCGCGGTCTGCATGGTAGTGGCAGCCAATGAAGAGGCCGAATTTCACAGAAACCAATCGCAATTCATCCCTAATCTTGTGGGAGCCTATGTAATGCTTTATAATTCCACTGTCATCGCACCGGCAACAAATGCCAACCGCCTGAATTTCAAGCCTGATATCAGGCCTCTCAGGGGGAATATATTTCTCTCATTATATAAATTTGTAATGTATAAAATTCTCAGTTTAAAATTCACAAAGCCTAATACATTTAAATATTCAGAATTTATGGCATGAAACTAAACCTTGGGCAAGCGAAATATTATTTCAGTGTATTATTTGTCATCAATTTACCAACCGACACGCATGGTTCCGTGAATTATGTGTTTAAATTATTAAATAAAGGGAATCGCAACAGTCCATGAAGCACTTCATGATAAAAGTGCAAATATTATTTCATCCATTTTTTTCTCGTCTTCACATATTAACAAGCACATTGAGAGTAAACATTCTACTGACTTTCAAACTTGCTGAACGTGAGTGTCCTGGTATGTTTTAAATAATCTAGATTATGTCATCCCTTAATCAGAATAACATTTAACAACAAAAGACCGGATGAAAATAAAAGTCTCTCCTCACTACATTCCTCACAGTCTGCTAACATTTCCAGTGTAATTCAATCAGGAATAAGGACCTCGTAAGTGTCGCGTAAAGTCTAATGAACACAATCTGACATTTACACTGCTCTCTTATAAAAATTATAGGAGCATTATGTGCGGCCTTCAGCCGCCATGTGGTGGCCGGTGAAATCACGTCCAGCATCGTGACAGCGAGCGAGGAACGAAATGAGGCATTTAGACTCCGTGGAGTATATGACAACGACATGCCTGTCCAACAAGGGCATGGAGTGTATGGCAGTATGGCAAGGACTGTCATTTCTCATTTTGTGCTTTCACCATAAATTTAAGAGGCATCAAATTGAGAGCTCAACGCAAGAAATTTAATTGGGGCTCATACAATCGATAAAAACATATGAATCGATGTTTATTTTTTATTACATCACTGATCTCTAACTTCACTTCTTTGAAGTTTTGCACACTTGCGTAAAGTCACATTAAAAATATTTACATTTTATATATATTAAAAAATGAAATTTCTTTTTAATATTTAAAAATTGAAATAGTAATTCATTGTACATTTGTAACATCGGAAACATAGGCCTTTCTAGAAGTGTGGTCTTTAAAAAATAATTTTTAAGCGCATTTTTTTATTCCGACACGTTGATCGACATCGCAAAATTGTCTCATTTTAACTCTGAAGAATATCGAAGTCATGTTCAACTTTTACTGAATACCTCGCGAAATTTTTAGAGGATCTTCTTAGCGCATTTTCTCATTATGAAAAAATGCACTATTGTGCTAGCGATGTCCGTCCGTCTGTCTGTCTGTCCGTGACTTCAAGTTTTCGTCGACGAGAAAATGCGCTCTGTGTCACTCACTGCAGTGAGTACTGAGTTATATTTTTTGAAGCATGCGGTGCAGGATGACAATCGAGCTCATTTTAATTTACTTATACATTGTCCAACAGCATATGGATTCTGTAAGCATACATTGGTATATTTGAATTTTGCAATTAAGAATAAACGTTTCAATGAAAATTATTTTGAAAAATATATATAAACATTTAAGAGTAGATTCATAAGGCTTATCTAATAATGAGGGGTAAAGATCCGTTTGCTAGCAAAGTGTTCATGACACGAATTTCACGTCCGTTATGCTGTTCGTTTTATGAGGAGTTTATGCAAAAATGAAATCAGTTTTCCAGGCCGGCAATTGGATAACTGATAATAAGAAGCTTTTTCTCATTTTAAATATCACAATACCGTTCATCCCAAACCTGATGACTGCAAACTCGCTTAGCTTACATATAACTGATATAAGTATTATAACTCAAGCTATAAACCTAAACTTATAACGATATTACTTACATGTAAGTGATATACTACTGTGTTAAGTGAATAAATAAACCTACATCACAAAATTCGGTCCAATTTAATTAACAATTGTTCATATTTTTCTTGCAGGTTGAAGCTACTGTTCTCCTGTATGTTGGATCTCTCCAAGTTTCCTTTCGACTCGCAAATTTGCACAATGGAAGTCGCCAGTTGTGAGTACCGATTTTAATTTTTTTTAATCCCTTAATTTATGGCGAACAATAATAATGAACTAAATTAAGTTCTCGTGATGAAGGGAATAATAATAATATATAAATTAAAATAAATTCTCTATAATAAATGAAACAGTATATTGATTCCCTGCATTTTTTAAACGTTTTGAGCTTCCGCTATGCCAGACAAAGTAATTTCTGAACTAATTTAAATCCAACTTTTCAGTTTCCCTGCTAGTTTTCCCGAGTGAGTAGCTCCAGAATATCAAATAGAAATTTAATGCGTGCAAATATAACAATTACAACCGGTTTAGGAGTCTATATGTGTAAATCCAGAGTCTGGAACTAATTAGTTAGGCAAATGGAGAGAAAAAATATAACTCAGTACTCACTGCAGTGAGTGACAGAGCGCGCATTCTCTCGTCGACGAAAACGTGAAGTCACGGACGGACAGACAGACGGACAGACGGACAGACAGACGGACGGACGGACATACAGACGGACATAGCGAGCACAATAGTGCATTTTTTCCATAAATGAGAAAATGTGCTAAAAAGGAGCTTTTTAAAGCAGAGTGAGCACAAATAGAAGAACTCTGATCACACGTCCAGCCAACATCTTTCGATGGCACCCCACGAAACACTCGAGTAATAGATACTACGGTGTTTGCGATAAATATGTCGCTGAAAGAAACAGATGCCTCAATAGAGGTAAACATTTTAGAGCAAATGCTATGAGAATCGCCGGCTAAAGAATTCATTCACAATGAAATGTATGAATTTCAGAGGTTGGTTAAGGTTGATGATTTCAGGAGGCATAACAGGTTTATGATTATATCAGGCAAATAAAGGGAAATTTTTATTTTAGTGTAGGTTGCACAAAAGAAGACATGAGACCTTGCAGACAATTATAAACCATATAAATCTTGCAAATTCTTTCGGCTTTGGAAAGAGTAAGTTAGAATTTTTAATATCATCTGATGATAAGGGCTCTTGAATGAACCTCATCTCGCTTGAAATTCAGTTTCCGGCCTAAGTTATAACGGGTTATTCATTTCGTATATCACTTAAGAATAGCTGCGAGAATAGGAAAATGAACACAATGCTGGCAGAATTGGCCAACAAGATAACCCCTCAAGATTACAAGATACAACTTCCATTATGTACAACCTCATATTACTGTTTATTCATAGAATAAATTCATTAACATCTTCTTCAAGATTTCTCGATATCCGACTTATTCCAGACAGAAAAAAATATGTTTTATTGAGCTGTAAAAGAGGGTTCCTTAATTGTAATTGGAAGCTCCATTACAGGAAACGGCAAAGTTAAAGTAATAAGACATGGTATAAATATTTTTGAAAGCATTCATATAACTTATTTTCAATTGTTAATCCATTCTTAACCAATTAAGGTTCCATAATATTATGGACGACAAAGAGCTTCAGCATCTCGAACGATAAAGTGAAGGTTAGGGACAATTATTATCGTAATTGATTTGATGCTCGCCTATTATGGCACATGGTAACAACTCGTGGCAAATAATAATTCGTTTATTGTTTTTATTTGGGTTGAATTTACTTATTTAACGCTGTTTTTAAGTTGAAATTTATAGCAATTCTCTGTTTAACCATAAAGTAAACAGAAAATTAAACTGATATTCAAGCTAAAATTTACACTTTGTTTCTTGTACTCATCGTGGATCCTGGGCGCTTCTATGTTGCAGGTTTAAAGAATGTAAACAACAAATGAAGATTTAAAATTATTACGAATTATGCTTGAGTCTTAAATAAAAAATACAATTAAGCCTTCTGCATGGCCAAAAAAATAAAGTCAAGTTCTGTTAATTTCATTTCCAGTATTTTCAGTTCACAGACCTTGAAATATTATTCGTTGCACTTAGTCCGAATTATTTGAATACATACAACGTAGCTAAACGTTCTCATACTATTTTTTATTTATTCAGAAAATGATATTTATTTTTTACTTATTATAATTTTTTTAGCCCATGAAGAAAAGAAATATATTAACGTCTAAAAAAAGATCAAAAACATCAGAATGTCGCTACGCAATTTAAAAAATGCGATCATCAATCCCAAAAACCGATACACTCAATGCCTTGAATAGAAGAACGACAAAAATCGTCACGAAAAAGGTACGAATGAGTTCGAGACAGGCAGCTCAACTGGCTTACGCACAACGAATTGTCGCTGAGGCTCCACACGAAAGGCAATAAACTTCGTGCCTTGCAACGCAGCAATCTAGCAAGATTTGCTCTGGACTGACTGAAGGAAAAATCAATATATTTTCCCGATTGCAGGGCTGATCATTAAACTGTCGATGCTATAGGAGGCGTTCAGGGTAAACACATTGAGAAGATTTCCTTGCTGTAATTTTTTGTAGTTGATATCGCGAGGCGATTGACCGAACGTGCTCCTGACAAATAAATGAAAAGTTTATGAGGTTTTAATGTCAATGAATAAAGAACAAATCTATTTTATAATCACGATGTTTGCTTGTATGGCGAGACGATTGACCGAACGTGTTCCTGGCGAATAAATGATTAGTTTGTGAGATTTTAATGTCAATGAATAAAGAACATGGATTCGAATCTATTTTATATTCGCAATTTTTGCTCGTTCGAACATTGCATTGGTAACATGGATACGACTCGTAAGCTATCGGGTTCCCTGGGGTGATGATATTGTCACGATTTAATAAGAACGAACCTTACGATTCCTAACATTTTACTTCATTTTGATTTAGTTTTTCTCAATTTTGTATATTTCCATTCATTTTCGAGACTTTCAGCATGCATCATACGGTGTTGATCCATTTTCATCTGCAATTCCAAAAATTTTCCAGAGATTTTTCACGCACTTCCATAGGTATTCCGATTTTTTCCGTTGCTGACAGAGTTCAATTGAAATTTGTAATATTTTCGCTAATTTCCTCACGCTTTACGAACCCTTCACAAACTTTCCTTAGAATTTACTACACATTTCCATGCTGTTTTCCAAATATTTCCCACCTATTTCTATAAATCGGATATCAATCACACATGAAGTTATGCATTATTTTTCCAACTGACAGACATTTTCCTTAAAATCACTCATTCATAATTATTTAATTATTCTTGCATTTCCTGCATGTTTTATTCACTTATATCTCGCATGTTCATCCATCTTGCATACATCTACATGCATTTTGTACGTACGCATGTTCATTATTTTCCACATAATAAAATTTGGTTGACACAATATTCTCCGCAACTGAATATCTTCCGGATTACTAGAATCTCAAAATGATCTGAAATTCAGGATTGTAGAGTACACAATAAAAGTATACAGGTATTTTGAATACGACTCGAGAATTATTAATAGCAATATTATTATTAATATTATTAACGTTAGCATTATTATTATTATTATTATTCGAGCGCGTATGCACTATGTTTTACGCAGTGGGATATTGAAGGATTTTCTAAGTTTGAAGCTTTGTTAGGCAATCACGATGCTTCTAAAAGCCACGTGGGCTGAGGCCAGGTTGGAAGAAAAAAAGAAAAATATAAGTACAATTACGTTTAGAATTTACGTGGTTACATTGAACTCTGATTGAAGGTTGGAAGAGAAATGTAAGTCCAATTACATTTAGAATTTACGTAGTTACATTTAACTCTAATTGAGCGAAAAATTTGTGTTCCTTCGGTTTTCACAGCAAAAGTTTGTTGCGTCTATTTTTAAAAGGGACTTTGGACGAGGTTCTGTTAAATCCACAAGACGTCGATTGCAGAATACGATCGTTTAAAAATAAAATTTAACGCTCATTGAATTGTTTCATATGCATATATTATTTTAGGTGCATTTTTCGTGAAGTAGTACATATCCACATTAATTGGACTATAGATATGCCATCAAGAAGCCAACCCACGAGCAATGATAGTGTAGAAGTTTTGAATAAACTTCCATTCACAAGACACGATAACAAAATTGGCGATATAAACGAAAAAATTAAACGTTGAAAAAATTATGAAGATTGCATGCAAATTAACGAATTATCGTAGAAATGTTGAAACAATAAGATTAATAATAAAAGTATGAGCCAACTAAAATATTTATTAATCTTAAATGAGCGTGGTTTCGAACCATGCGGTCGCACACGATAATAGCAAACACGTCTTGCTGCTAAGCATGTTCGCTTTCATAAAACTGTAACAATTTCAGAAGGCGAGTGTTGTTACATAGTACCTACATAGCATTACATAGCAAAAATTTAATAAATGAAAAGTATTATGGAAAATTTTTACCGCTGATACATAAAGTGTAGATAGTTAAGTTTCACGCTTACGACTGACCTCTCGATTAATGAGATTTAACAGATGACTAGAAATAAGACGATATGAATAAAACCATATTAATATTCAATGACCTATAGGCATTTCCATAACATTGATCAAAACAGCAAAAAATTCCGCCATAAAGCGAGATACCAACATTCGTGTCAACGCAATAAACTTCGTGCCAAAATTTATTCGAACAAATTAGTTACAAAATCAGCATTTCTATTGATGAATTCGCTGCTCTAATTCTCGCATAAGTAAACGGAACACTTATGTAAACGTGTGAGCTTTTCCCAACGCGCGAAACTCGATGTTGATATTAGAAGTACGTGTTGATGGTTATAATTGGTAGTTCAAATATTAACCAAAAATATAATTTTTAGCGCCCGAAGAAAATTACTTCTTAAATTGAAGCTTTAAATTTCTCTCTACATGTACTTGTTTTTTTTTTAACTAGATATCAATACGGCTGACAATGCCTTGTCTGCCAGATTCAAGTATTCTTAACTTTCATGGTTATTTTTTAACTTATTGACATATGCTTCGTGATTTTTCAGCGCAGTCGTTTGCAATTATGGTTAAATATTATTGCCTAATTATGTTTCAAATATTTATTGAATGTAAATTCTCTCGAGGTAACTGACGGATTATAGCTTAAAGAA